TAGTTGATGTTATCAATTGTCGATTTATACCAAATGATTTTATGTTGTTGTTATGTCTTTTTAACTTTATGTGACGATGAATATCATTTTTTCCACCATCACATACTGAAAAATGTTCGTTAGAGGCAATACAAAGAACTTTAGCTGAATCTGGTTTATACTGTCGTAAAAATGATGCGAACTGAGGATTAAGTAGCCATTGTGAATTAAACATGCCTTTTTTTATCTTTTGATAAGCACCTAGTACGGCTTCAATATTTTTATTTTCATTTGATTTCAGAATTGGTGATCTTGTTATTAATTGTTCGCGATCTGTTTCATCATTTGCAATCCCAATATCTTTAGATCATAAAAAACGTTTAAATTTTCAGATTGGAAATTTTTTTTGGGTAAATACAGAAGGCAAAATAATTTGAAAAGAAGTTAACTATCAGTTGAGAGCAGAATGATGTTTTTAATTCGCGAACAGGCAATTAGTGCGCAAGCACTTTAACATAGAAAAACTTTATGTGTTCGTTCATTGATTTTATGGATGATATAATAAGAATGATGATTAACTGGATGCGTAAACAGTAAGACTTTACTCGATAACAATGAGTTTTACTCTGAACATATTTTGAGGATACATCACCTTTTTATATAAAAAAGCGGAACAGCGAAAAAATAGCGGAAAAAAGGTGAAAAAGCGGAAACTTTCCGCAACTAGCGGAAGAGGTGTCATCCCTGATGGAGACCTAGAATTGGTAATTGTTTTCTGGAAGATCAAATGCTTTTCACGATACTATATTGACAGAGCGGCGGTTCACTTCGTCTTCTTAAATGTTTATGAGTGCATAGAACATCGTGATACTTTGCTTGAATGATTGCATAACACATTTCACACGACATAAATTTGAAATTAATACGTTTTTCAATGCGTACATTGTTTCATTCTAAATAAGTTTGTAGTTAGAGTGATGATTCTTATTCAAGGTATAAATATCTGTATGCATTGTAAAAAGTCGTTCATGCCACTTGAATTAATAAAGAAGAGACAGTACATATGTGTTTAAGGTCTACTCATCTGGGTTTGATTCATCCGTGTTCGGATGATAGTATGCCTAAAGAGAAGCAAACAGAAATCATTACCATATGTTCAATTATTTTTCAGAAACTTGCAGCACTACAAAGTATAGTAGTAACGACTGTTAGTTGTATCTATTCTATGAATTGTTGGTAATGGCGAACATATCTCTTCTTATCTTGCCTGTCGAGTTAATCCATCGTATTTTCGATTTCTGCGATACTCGATCTATTCTGTTTTCATTTCGTAACGTCTGCAAACAATTCTACACGCTTGTCGAAAGCTACGATCGGTTTAATCTCACCTTGGACTTGAAGTCTACGTATGATTTTACAGTGATTTGTCGTATAATTCAACTTGAAAATGTCATTTCAATGAATATCTCCAACGACAGTACCGATAGAGATAAAAACTCTACTTTGTTGTCATTCTTCGATAATGATCGACGGATTCGGCTTCGTTCACTAACTTTTCAAGATTTTAATGTCAATGATTTAGAATGTCTCTTACAAGGTATTAGAACGAGCTCTCTGATCTCTCTTTCAATTGATTCGACTACAAATGAATATGAAAGAATAGGAATTCTCATCTCATCAACACTCGTTCGATGTAATCTTCTGAAGCTTTGTCTACATAATGCGAGTAATATGTTAAAATATATGCTGTGGCCAACTCCATGCAAATTAGAGCACCTGACAATCCATGTTTGTCTCTATAATGACTATCTTGTTATTCTTCATCAGTTACCTTATTTACGAACATTCGTAATGAAAAATTGTGTTATAAATGATACTGATGGCATAGCGTCTTCATCATCGAATTCCATATCCAATGCTAGATTAATGTCACTTACCATTACTGATTGTTCACTTTCTAAAGAGCATATTGAATTGTTATTATCAAAGACACCTTTACTTCACCATTTCAAATTGATTTCTCATAGAGAAACGCTGGACTCTATATTTTATGGCCTCGATTGGGAGCAATTCATTCAGGGTAAATTATCGGGACTAGAAAAATTCGAATTTTTCTTCTCCCATCGTTACCATTGGTATGATCCCTTTGTTGGTCTCAATTCATTTATTGCTTCGTATCGATCACCATTCTGGCTGGAAGAAAAACATTGGCTAGTGGCTGCTGCTTATACTATAAAATCATCTCAGATTTGGCTTTATACGAGACCATTCAGCGGTATGGACCATGATATGTCACAAGTCAGATACGAAGTATCTGCGACAGACCTTGACTATCGTATGGTTGCACGACCGATGGATATAATTTTTGACAGCAATTCACAGGTGGTATGTAGACAGAACTATTCAGATCAAGTCACAGGCATCGTTTTTGTTTTTCGACCACAAATATTATTCGATATCGCATTGTGCACACTTTCCAGTTGAATAAGGACAATTATAAGCTCCTCTTGGTGTTTTCTCCACAAGAAGAAATTGTTTTACAGAATATTCTATTTTACTGCTCTTAGTAAAACTCAAAGACATCAATGTTTAACTGTACTTTCTCCGTAATGCATTTGCTTCTAACGAGTTTTAGAATTAAAATTTAGAAGAAAAAAACAGAATGAGTTTCGAATTTTATGATAGAAACATGAAAATGATGGGCGAAAGACAAAGACATTATATCCGTTAATTGATGAAGTTCTTTTTGAGATTATACGAATCTTTAAGCTCAAGAGACTATTATTTATTATACCAGTCGAAACTGGTACTAACTAAGGCATAGTTCTATCAGATGCAATGAAGTAAAGCCAACGAATCATTCTCATAAGATACAAAATCATACAAGTCTATGAGTGACTTTATGTTTTCGGAAATATCACATTGATTATCACAATTACTGAAACTTGTAGGGTGACAGTAGTCGTTAGTCCGAGCCAGTCTACGTCGTAACTATAACCGATTTGAAAAACCTCTGAACGAATCACTCTCTGTTATTTACTAGAAAAATCAACATATCACCTATTATTAGGTCAATAACTTCTAAATATAGTACAATGCAAAAACTGTTGCTGTTTGACATTCAAAGTTTCGTCACGCCTTTCTCGTGCACTTCATATAAGGATTATTCGAGAATTCTAACCGAATGAAAATGCCTGATCTTTAGAGTATTGACTATTTTTCGACAAGTTGATCATGCATGTTACACTATTAGAGATAAAAACATCGTTTAGCTGCCGAAATCATCCTTCTCACGATGATCCTTATGTTTAACATCTGTCACACTATTGCAAAGCTAGATGAGTACTGCATCGTGAAGCATAAGGACTAGAGGTGGCACTTTATCTGGTAAAGTACAGTATTTAATTTTACTTTGCTTGGTAAAGTAAAGTTGAAAAATATTGATTTTACTAACCATATATATTGTGGTAAATACTGAGGCATATATGATGGGCGACGTAACTGAGGAAAGCCGACTGGAGCCCAACCGTGTCTTCCGATGAAATTTGTTATCATAAATAAGAAACAAGGGTTCACCACTGATCCAAAACTTATCAGAAAAAATCTGGGAATACTTAGAAAAATAATCCAATGGTAGTGGAGTTTGAAGACTTTAGTAGCGAGGTTCAGATTTAAGGCTATCTATTCTAAAAGATCACAAAGGATCATTGATTGGTCAAGTGTCTTCAAAGTTATCTTGTCTATGATACAAGAAGATAACGTTGACAAATAAGTTTATTTTAGTAAGAAAAAAAGATTTAGAATATAATAACAGATTAGTACTAAACTTTAAAGCCTGAAGTACTCGAAACGATCGACTGAGCATCGAATAATGTTAGGGATGAATAAAATCATGATTTTTTGATTCTATAGTAGTTTTAGTCTTTTCAGAGAAAAAATGAGCAGTTTTTGAAAAAAACAAAAAAAAGAATTTTTGGAAAAATTTGGAGACGACCGAAATATAATTTTCGCAAAGCTTACAAAGTTTTCGTTCGGATATACGTAAGAAAAATCGAGCTTTCTAAAGTCAGAAATTTATTTTTGTTTCTTAAAAAATGATCATTTTTACTGGACTAAAATTTCTGAGGTTGGTCCCGATTCCACATACTTTAAACAATACAGATGTCAACATCATAAAAACCCTGTAGTTGACTGTTTAGCGTCGTGCACAGTAAGTGAAATCCTCAAAACTCCACGAATCGGATGGATACTTGCGCAAAAAACGCCAAAGAGTTGATATGCCAGGCTTAAATTATCCGATAACATCAATAAAAATGAAATCTTTAGTAATTACTATTTGAATAGAAAATAGAATCAATTTGACGTCAACATATTTTTGTAGTTTCAATATATGATTACACTGTGAATAAAAAAGGTTTCAAATTTATCGCTTGTCAAACGAAATTTTTGCCAGAGACGGACGGCAATTTGTTTTTGCACCTTACTGTAGCTTACAAAATCATAAGAACAGTCAAATAATTCCTATTCTTTCTCGCATTCTTATCTTCTCCTATTTACACAGACCCTCACTACCCTGGACCTCGGATACAGCCATATTGGAAGGCACGGAGCAAAATATTTGGTTGATGCCTTACAAAATAACCAGGTGACTCTTGTTTGTACTTCGTTTCTCTCTCCCATGCATATCTTTTCGTATACACACAGACACTTACGACACTATGTCTTAGATACAATGAATTGGAAGCCGTTGGTACCGAATATATAGCTGATCTCTTACGAAACAATACGGTGACTATCATTCTTTTTTTGATATATTTTTCATGTTCCTCGTTTTCTATTCAAACAGACACTGATCACGTTGGATATTGGAGATAATAGAATCAAAAGTCAAGGAGCAAAATATTTAGCAGATGCCTTAAGAACCAACAAGGTGCCTTTTATTCCTATTTATTCTGTCTTATATGCATCTACTCGTACCGACACAGACACTCATGGTACTAGATGTCAAGCGGAACAGCCTGGAAGACGAAGGAGTGCAACATCTCACCGATGTCCTCAAAATCAACATGGTTTGCTTTCATTCTCATTTCATCTCTATCCTATTCTTTTCCTCCTATACACACAGACACTCACATCATTAGACCTCAGATCTAATAGAATCAGTATTCGTGGAGCTCAATATGTAGCTGACACTTTACGAAATAATACG